GAGGGGAGGTAGAGTAGAGTTCAGTGTTCCGGCCTCAGCCCCGTCCCCCCCCCCCCCCCCCCCCCACACCCACACCCACACACGTCTCACGCCCGCACTACCACACACACACTCTCTCTCTCGCACATCCATACACATACCATACAGACATACACAGCCGCAATGGCCCTCGACTCGGTCTCCGAGATCCTTCAACAGGAGATGGTCAAGTCGGCCACCATTGTGGTACGCTCCCTCCCTCCCCCCCTCCCACCCACCCACCAACCAACCAACCGTGGCACCCTCACACACTCACCACCACCTCATTCTCTTCTCATCGACAGGAGGTACCTGCTATGCCAACCCACCTCACTATCGTCACGGAAGACGGAGAGAGCGACGACTCGCCGTCGCCGTCGCCGCTCGGTGCGCACCTGCCTGACACCAGCTCGCCGACCTCGGCAAACGGCTTGGTCCCGCCACCAGTCTCCCGCTCGTCGTCGGCACCGCACCTCAACGGCTCGGTGCCATCGCTGGCAGTGGCAGATGCTAACCTCACGCCGCTACAGAAGCGACTCTCGCTGACAAAGGCTGCCCGCTCGGCGGCCATTGCCGCCGTCGAGTCGCAGATGGCCGCAGAGGCCAAGACCACGCCGCTCTTCCAGTTCCTCTTCTTCCATCTCGTCTCCATGCAGGAGAGCTTGCAAGAGTCACAGGCACTGCTCAAAGATGGCGACGAGGTCATCTCGACTGTCGCCCGTGCCATGCTCTCGTGCCAGGCGCTTGTCGTGCAAGCCGGCAAGCTCGCCGCCGTCGTCTTTGCCTCGGATGTCGACAACGTCAAAGGCGCGCTCCGCGCCTTTGTCAAGTGCATCAAGGAGGTGCTCGGTGCAGGCAAGGCCCTGGCCAACTCGGAGCCGTCGGCCCGCGCTGAGCTCATGCGTCACTTGCGCCACGTGCGCGACGCGTCGACCTCGGTGGTCCAGGCCACGCCGACGTGTACACTCACCGGCGATGAAAACGCCGAGCTCGCCACCCTCATGCGAGTCCTCATCAAGGTCATTGCCTCAGTCTTCAACTTTGTGCCCACCATTGCATCCAACTCGTCGGCCGAGGTCCGCAAGAAGCGCGCCGCCACCCAGTTTGTCGCCCAGATGCTCCGGCGCATGGCTATCGAGTACTACAATCCCGGCGAGACGATTGTGTCCAAGGGCGAGCGCGGCAAGTGCATGTACTTTATCACCTCGGGCGAGGTCGAGATCATCTTGCCATCCACTTCCAAGCGCAAGAAAGACAAGGACGTCGAGCCGCGCGAGAACCCACGCCTCGGCGTTGGTGCCTTTTTCGGCGAAATCGCCCTGTTTCTCTCCAAGAAGCGGACCGCCACCGTCCGTGCCCTCACCCAGGTGGATCTCGCCGTCCTCACCAAGGAGGCGTGCGAATCGATGCTTGAGAAGTTCCCTGACATCTACAACGACTTTAAGCGCATGGGTGAAGCCCGCCTCATGGGCACCATGAAGCGGCACTCGTCGTCCAAGACCTCTGAGGTCCCCGAGTGGTTCTCTGACGTCTCGCGCCGCGTTGCCTCGCTCACCGCCAAGCCCGTCCTCAAGATCTACACCCCGCACCGCGCCCTCATCCTCGACTCACTCTTCAAGTCGACCGACGACGAGTTTGTCTCGAAGCTCCTCGCAAAGCCGGAAGAGACCGTCGGCATCCTCGCCTCAGTCTGCACCCGCGAGGAGATGGAGCTCCTTGTCCCGCATCTCATCTGCCTCTACGACGCCCGCAAGGCCATCGTCACTCTCGTCGAGTTCTGTATCACCTTTGAGGTCGAGCGCACCCCGCTCGACATGGCCACCTCGCTCATGCGTGGCTCGTCGTTTGGCCCAAAGGTCCTCACCGCCCTCCTCGCCGCCGTCGGCGACGACTACACACACACCGTCTGTGCCCCGGGCTTTGCCGCCCTCAACGCCGCTGCGCCGGCTCTCGTCGCTCTCACCGACCCGCTTGCTCTCGACGAGATGCCAGGGCCTCAGTTTGATGCCCTCGTCTCGCAGCTTGTCTCGGTACTCGACGTTTTTGTCGCATCCATCTTTGCGCCGTCGGCGGTCCGCGCGTGTCCCATCATTGTTCGTATTGCCTGTCACATCCTCATGATCGCCGCCGAAGCCCGCTTTGGCCAGTTTGAGACCATCATTGGCGGCGTCCTCTTCCTCCGCCTCATCTGCCCGTCCATCCTCAACCAGTCGCAGCGATTTGGCTACGACCCGCGCCCGGCTCCCAACCGCAAGCTCCTCATCCTCATTTCCAAGGTGTTGCAGAACCTCTCCAACCGCACCACCTTTCCACCCATCCACCGCTACTCTCCGGCCCTCAACGACTGGCTCTCTTCCAAGGACGTCGACCGCCTCGCCTTTATGTCGGACATTGTTGATCTGCCGTTCTCCACTTCGACCCGCGGCACTTGCATCCAGACTTTCAAGTCCAAGCGCAACGAGGAGCTTCCGCTCGAGCTCGGTTGTACCATCGACGACATCAAGACCACCTCGTCGCCCTCGTGGCTCTTTGGTGTCCGCGGAGATCACTCAGGCTTCTTCCCCGCAAATCACGTCACCGTCGCCTCCCACCATGTCTACGTCGGCGCAGACGCTCATCACCTCGGTGACTACGGCTCTGCTCCCGCCGCGCCTGCTGCGCTTGCTACGCCTGCCACTGCAAAGCGCCGTGCCGCTGCTTCTGCATCGGCTTCGGGCTCTGCCTCCGCCTCGGCCTCTGCATCTGCCTCGTCGGCCTCCTCCTCATCGTCGTCATCGTCCTCGTCGGACTCTTCAGATTCATCAGACTCGTCGTCCTCGTCGTCGTCATCCGACGCTCCAAAGGCCACCAAGAAGGCCAAGACCAATCCGGCTTTGGCTGCCACTTCTGCACCCAAGTCTGTACCCGCTAAGCCGCCCGCTGCCGCCACCGGCTCTAACGGCAAGGTCAAGACCACGCTTGTGCTGAGCGAGGACCCGTCCGAGAACGTCGCCTACATCCGCCAGCTCGCTAACTCGAAGGAGCGTGAGATTTATGCCTTTGTTGAAAAGGAACTGTGAACAAACACGACCCTGCACACAACCGCAGTCCTACACCGGCTGGTTGCCCAGCACACGCTCGTACGGCACCGGCTTGGCCGAGAACGAGCCGCGGGGCGGTGGCGCGTCTTCCAGCATCAGTGACCGCGCGTACGAGACGTTGGCATGGTTGTGGACGTAGATCGAGTTGATGACCGCCATGATCGGCTCGACTCGGTGCAAGTGGTACGAGAACTCGGACATTGCCGAGAGCTGCGGCACGTGGTCCGCCAGCACGCTGGCGCGCTCCTCGGCGCTGCCGTCCGCCGCCGCGTTGGTCACCTGAGCCGTCATAACCTGCAGGTGGATCTGGATGGCTGGCACTAGTGGTGCTGGCATGCCATCGATGGCCGCAAAGTACGCTGCAAAACTCTCAGTTGGATCCACCAGTGGCAAGAGCTTGTCGCGGAGCTGGACTTTGATGGCGTGCGGGACGGCGGCCCAGGTTTCGGTCATCCGCTGAATGGCGGGTGACTGTAGGCCGAGGAGCACTGCGGTCGCCGTGAAAAAGTTGTTGAGTAGCTTTGCGCCGTGTGCTACCTCGAGGAGGAAGCAAATGGTCCACGCCCGATGCTCCGCCGATGCCTCCTGCCCGATCACTGCCGACGTCGCCCACCGCACTCGATAGTTGTACCGGGTGAGGAGCTCGTCGACTTGGGGCTGGCTCTCGGCCTTGCCGCCACCCACCACGTACGCCACGTACGCCTCGGGCGCGACGTTGGCAAACGCATCAAAGTCCTCCAGCGTCAGCTGGCGTGCCACCTCGAGTGGATGAAGCTTAAGCAGCGGGTCGAGCTCAAACGGCGGTGGCGTGATCGATGCCAGTGGACTCGGGTATGACTCGGGCGTGTACACCACGTTAGCATCAAACTGGCCGCCGGCACCATCGTAGAACCCGGAAGTGCTTGCCGCTGCTGCCAGCTTGTCCGGTAGCACCGGCTCGCCCTCAGGTTGGTTCCAGAACGTAGCCTTGGTCAGGGTCGATGGGTCGTAGGTCGGATCCTCGTAGCTGATCGGCTTGCCTGGTTTGGGCTTGGCGCCGCGTGCCTGCAGCTCGAGCGACCGTGCCCGGCCGCCCGTCTGGTCGAGCACTTCGCCAGCCTGCAGGAGCGCAAGCACTTGCTCGATTGGCTGGATGGCATACTCGGCGTATGGCGATCGGAGCTTAATGAGCACGTCAACGGCTTTGGCCATGATGGAGAGCTTGTCGATGTTGACCAGCCCATTCGGCTCGAGAAACGTGTCCTGCGCGTCGTCGGTCGAGATGATGTCGCCGAGCCATGGCGCGATAAATGGCACGCACGGTGCAACTGTTTGCTTCAGCCGCATGCGGTAGATCTTGAACTTACCCAGCACGTCCATCATCGTCTCGAGGTCGTGCAGCTTCTCCCGGTACGTGTCCGGAAGCATCGAGAACAGCCGCACTAGCCGCGAAATGTTGGCCGACGACAGCGCCACAATGACCGCCTGCATCGAAAAGTAGTTGTCGAGCCCACGACAGCAGAGCGCCACGTCGATAAACTTGCACGCCAGCCGCGCACGTTCGGTCCAGCTCTCAGCGAGCAGGATCCGCGACGAAAACCAGGTCATCACCTTGTTGAACCGCGCAGAGTACGCCTGTGTCGATTCTGCAGGCACAGAGTCTTTGGCGAGGTAGTCAGCAGGCCGAATGGAGTAAAACACCTTGTAGTCTTCCAGCGTCAGCTGCCGTGCAAGCTCCACCGGCGAGACATCAAAGACAGACTTGATTGAGTTAAGCTCTGCTGGGAGGAGTGGCGGCGGAATGTGCTGGGCAAAGCTCCGTGGGTCGTACTGCTTGATATACTCGGTCGCCGCATGCGCTTCCTTGTGCCGCGCAAGCTGGATGACAAACGCGAGCTCGTCCTCCAGCTCGCCGCTCACCTCGCTGGCCCGTGTCTCGAGCACGTCGATCCACGCACGGAGCACGTCACGGACAAGCAAGACGGGGCCGCGCTCGTCCGAGCTGCCGTCGTCGGTCTGGCTCTCTCCGGTCGGTCTTGCGCTCTCGACAAGCGACGCCATGCAGCTCGAGTCGACCTCGGCCGGTGGATGGCACCATGCCTCGTCCATGTCCGAGTAAAAGCCGACGAGCCATGCACAGAGGAGCGAGAGGAGTTTGGAGCGAATAGCAGGGAGGGTGACGGCGGTAAACTCGAGATCGTCGACGTCGGGCGCGAGCTGTGCGTCATACCGCTGCACAAGGAGCGTGAGCAGCGTTGACGACGAGAGAATCTTGACCCGCGTGATGAGGAAGATGCGGGTGAGGACTGGATCGTCATGATTCGGCTGCAGGATCTTGCGGAGAAGTAACTCCAGATGGATGGCATGGATCGAGACCGCCACTAGCGACGTCGAGTAGAGGGCGACAAAGTAGGGAAAGTAGACTGCAAGGCTCAGTCGCGACTCGTCAAAGACGGCCGAAATGCCATCGGCCCGCCGCGGCCGGCTCGACGACGCTGCCGATGTATCGTTCCAGCCCGCTGGCTCGGCAGACTCTGCCAAGTCTGCGTACTCTTTGTACTTGAGATAGACAGGTAGGATGCGCTCGGCCGATGCCCGCGCGGCGCGCAGCGCCGCCAGCTGCTCCTTGAGCGCCTGCTTTTTGGCCACGACACCAGCACGCGTCAACGGGACAGGCGACGGAGGGACGCCATGAAGTGAGTTGGCGAGTGCGAGCTTGAGCGCCTCGCCGGTGCGGTCGCGGGCGTCAAGCGCAATCCACCACGCCTTGAACGCTTCCCGCGGCAGCGGCGCACTCGTCGGCCGCCCCGCACGCGCAGCGATCGACTCGAACACACCGGCAGCCAGCCGTCCGTCTATCCATGACGGTCCCATGGCCAACGCGGCAGCCACAAAGGCATCGGCCGAGACCGAGCCTGTCCGCTGCGGATCGAGTAGCTTGAACGCTGCCGTGGCATCGAACGCCTTGCGCTGTGCCACCAGTGCCGACAGCTGGCGGTACTTGGCGTGGACCGGCTCGATCTCGTCGGGCGGCGCGTGCTGTGCCTTGCGAGACAGCACCTCCGACTTGACCGCGTCCTTCAGCTCAACTAGTTCGACCAGCGTGAGCGATGCGTACGCCTGCGGCGGGCTCTCTGCCTGCGACTGGCCGGTCGAGTCGACAGGCGCCCGTGTCTGAGCCAGCTCCATGAGCGGTGGAGGCCGACCCCGTCCGCCATGTCGGCCCAACTCGGTGTCTGCCATATTAAGATTGCACACAGGAGGGGGGGGGGGGGGGGGGGGGGGTGAGGTGGTTTGCTCTCGTTCCCGATTTTCGTGTCGCGCGGCCGCCTCCGTCGCCGTTCGTTCAGAGTTGTCGGTTGGCGGGCGGAGCTGGCGGGCGGAGCTGGCGGGTGGGCGGGCGGGTGGGTGGCGGGCAATGGCGCCAGAGCACCAAGTCACCACCACCACACACACACACACACGAACCCCGAAGCCTCCAGCGAGGCAACACACCACCACATATACCGCCTCCTCACACCACCACCACGCGAACCCGCGCACACAGCCACATATACACAGCCACAGCCACTACTTTGCACAGCAAGGGCCATGGCCGACGACATGGAGGACGTGTTCGAGGCGCTGCCGGCGTTTGCCAACGACGAGAACAAGGCGCTCGACACCGAGCTGCGGGAGAAGGAGCGGTCGCTGCTGGGGCTCACGTACGATGTGGAGGACAATCACGAGCGGATTCGGGTCATGCTGGAGCACCTCAAGAATGTACGTGCCGAGCTGGCGAGCTCGCAGAAGCTGCTGGCGGCCAAGAACAAGGAGACCGAGACCGAGGACCACATGAAGCGGCTGGCGGAGCGCGAGACCGGGCGGCTCAACATTGAGCTGCGCAAGACTGAGGCACGGGCACGTGAGTTGCGCGAGCGCATCAACCGGACCAAGAACGCCATTTTCAAGGGAGAGAAAAAGGTCGAGGCCATCCGTGACCAGATGAACTGGGACCAGGACGAACTCGACCAGTGGCTTGTCGCCTCCCGCCAAAAGGAGGAGGACTCGCTCCTGCTCCGCAAATACGCCAAGATCGACGACGCCAAGGTTCGCGAGCTCACGCTCCGGGTCGAGAAGCAGGCCAAAGCGGTCCAGGCCAAGCGCAAGGCGCTCGAGTTGGAGGTGACCGAGACCCAGGCGGCGCAGATCGAGCTCGACAAGACCGCCGAGGCCTTCCGCGCACTCCATGCCGAGCGGCAGAACCTCATTGTGCAGCTCGAAGAAGCGCTGGCCGCCGTCGAGGCCCGCGATGGCTCGCTCGAGTCGACAGCCACCAAGCTCGCCGACGTCAATGGCGCCGTCCGAGCCAAAGAGCGCGTGGTGGCCGAAAAGCGTGAGTTTCACGAGGCCGAGGTCTCCGCCAACGCCACCCTGCAAAAGGAGACCGACGCCGTCAACCGCGACGTCGGCGCGCTCCGCATCGCTATTCTCGACGGCAGGGCGGCTGTGACCGAGATGCAGGACCAGATCGAGACGCTCAAGGCCCACGTCACCGGCACCGCGTCCGATCTCTTCGCCAAGCGTGCTGAAGTCAAGGCCCTGACCGAGGAACTGGCTTCGGGCAAGACTCTCATCGAGGCCCGCAAGGTTGCCCGCGAGGCCGCCCGTGTCCGCTTTGAGCAGTCGTCGCTGGAGACCATGTCCATGGAGGACCGCGTCGCCGCCATCGAGCGCAACCACGAGGCTGAGGAGGCCCGGCTGGCCAAGCTCGACAAGGGCATCCACGACCAGAAGGACACGCTCTTCCGCGAGTCGCAGGTGCTCTTCAAGCTCCGTCAGACTGAGTCCAACCGCATTGCGGAGATCCAAGGGGCACAGACGTCCAAGAAGACCCTCCTGGCCTCCATCAACAAGCTCGACGCGCAGTCGCTCAAGCAGCAAGAGCTCATCTACAACCAAGAGTTTCAGCTGCAGCAGCTCGAGCGCAAGGTCTCGCGTGCCCAGGGCGAGCGCTCCGACGAGGAGAAGATCGAGCTCAATGCACGCATCGCCGAGCTGCAGAAGGAGCTCGACGAGCAGAACTCGGTCAAGGCGCTCCTTCAGTCGCAGCTCAAAAAGGCCGAGAACGAAGCCCGCCGCGGGAAGCGCGCGCTCGAGGCCGGCACCAAGGAGGCCTCGGGCCTCACTACACGCATCGAAGAGCTGCAGCTCGACAACGCCTCGGCCGAGCGCATCGTCCGTGCTGCCGTCGAGCGCAAGGAGGAGCTCATGGTCCAGGTCAATCTCCTCAAACTCGACGTCAAGAAGATGGGCGAGATTCTGGCCGCCCGCGGTGATGAAGTCTTTGGCCTCGAGAATCGGAAGGAGCAGCTCCGCCTCTCCATGATCGAACGCATGGCGGAGATCAAGGCCGAGACCGACACCCTCCGCGCCCGCGCCAAGGTCGCAGAGGAGGAGCGCCATCGCGCCAAGCTCGAGCTCCGCGACAGACTCGTCCGCATCGAGAAGCTCTCGTCCAAGTACGACATTCTCTCCACAAAGTTTGCCGTGGCGCCTGGTGAGGAGGAGCGTTCGCAGGCGTTTTACGTCATCAAGGCTGCCCAAGACCGCGAAAAGCTGCTTCGTGAGGGTGACGAGATCAATGCCAAGATTGTGACGGCCGAAGCAGACATTGCCGCCCTCGAGGCGACCATGGCCGCCCTCTCGGCCTCCAACGAGAACTTCCAGGCCTCACTCCGCAAGGTCGACTCGTCCTCAGAAGAGTACGAGGCCAAGATCGCCAAGGAGGACCAGTTCCGTGCTGTTGTCGACACTTACAAGCGTAAGCGCCGCCAGGTCCGCGACATGCAGGAGGAGCTCGCCGCGCTCGAAGACACGCTTAGCCAGTGGCAGTCAACACACGCCGCCATGCTTGCAGACTACGACAGCGCCAACGCCGAGCTGGCCGACTACGACGCGCTCTTTGCCGATCAGGCCGCCAAGGAGGCCCGCGCCGTCAAGGCCATGAAGGACGCCGCCAAGTCGCACCGCGCTGACGCAGGCGCGCCAGCCGACGAGCAGACTATTGAGGAGCGTGACTTTCTTCTCCGCGAGCTCAAGTCGTTCAACGCCGACATGCTCGCGTCGCTCAAGTCGCTCGTCGCCGCCTCACCCGCCCTCGCCGCCACCATCGAGGCTGACCTTATCATGCTCGGCATCGCCCTCCCGCCGGGTGAGCCGGCTCCGATCCGTAATCCGCTCGCCCGCGGCGACGCCGATGCCACCCGTCGCACACCGGCGAGCTCGACCTCGCGCTCCCGCTCGCGCTCGCACTCTTCCAGCTCGTCGTCGCGCGACTCGAGAGATCCCGGTCGCACCCGACGGACTCCTGCTCGCCCGACCTCGGCCTCGTCGTCGCGGTCGTTGTCGTCATCCCGTGGCCGCTCTGGCTCACGCCCGACCTCGGCCACTCGTCCGCCGTCGGGCTCGCGCCCGCGCTCTCGTGGCCGCTCACGCAGTCGTGGCCGCGGTCAGTCGGCCCCCCGCGGCCGCACCAGCTCGCGTTCGGCTTCGGCCTCAGGCTCGGCCTCAGGCTCGGCCTCAGGCTCGCGCTCGGCCACTCGCCGCGGCCGCGGCCGTGGCCGTGGCGCACGCCGCAAGCCGTCGTCGTCGTCGCGCCGCTCCTCACTCTCCTCGCAGGGATCAGCCTCGTCGACCAAGTCGGCTGTCTCGGTCGTCGATCTGCAGCTGTAGCCCGTCTCGTCCGAGTAGTGAACAACAGGCGAGCACAGACACGCACTCACTTGCCTCGCTGTCGCTGTTGGTTTGGCCAGCCAACACGCACCGCCGCAACGGTATGGCTACACTCCGCAAGGCACTGTTCAATGCAACCGGCTACGCCATGGCCATTCCGGGCATGTCTTTGGTCTACGCGCCGCGGACCGAACCGCGCAGCTCACGTGTGAGCGAAGCCGTGTTTGGTCACCGCAACGACGCGCCGTCGTGGTCCGATGACGGCTCCGAGATCGGCTCGGGTCTCGATCCGGACGCCATTCAGTCGTTACCTGCTCACGGGTGGGCCTGGGAGCCTGAGATCGATGCGTGGACGCCGGCGCTCGCGCAGTTGGATGGTGGTCTTTCGGCCGAGGATCCGCTGCGCGTCGTCTCGTTCAACGTGCTCATGGACATGTTTGAGAAGTGGGTCTCGGGTGTGATACGCACACCTGAGAGGCACACGGCCATTGTGGCGTGGCTTGCCACGCTTGGTGCGCATGTGATCGTGCTCAACGAGGCTACGCCCGAGTTTGTCGCTCTTGTCGTAGCCGATCCTTACCTGCAGGCCAACTTTCGGCTCACCGAGGTCGACGGGGAGGCGCTGCACCCGCACGGTGTCCTCGTCCTTGTCGCCCACTCCATACCTGTGATATCGGTCCACAAGGTCTACTCGATGCTACTCTTGCGCAAGCGGTGCAGGATCAAGGAAAAGGCAGCACGGCCGGTGGTGGTGGTCAGGATCGCGCTGCCATCCGGCCTTGTCCTCGGCGTGTGCGGCGTCCACCTTGCGTCGCGAGTGAAGGAGATTGCGCAGCGTCGACAGCAGCTCCGAGATCTGTTCCGGCTCTTTGCGCTTGGCACATCACCGACCGGGGGCGATGGGCCGGGAGTCCTCGGTGTACACCAAGCGCTCATCGTCGGCGATCTCAACATGCACAGCGAGGGTGAGAACACTATGATTGCAGCTCCGTACGCCGACGCATGGCTGGCCGTCAACGAGGAGGTGCCACTCACAGCCTCGTGCACTTGGGATGGCGAGACAAATAAGCTCATTCAGGCAATGCTCCTCGGGACTGACAAGCGCAAGATGCGGCTCGATCGCATGCTCTTGTCGGCTCCACTCGCCCCGGCCGATGATGGCAGCGGCCGAGCGCCAGGGCAGGCTCTCGAAGTCACCGCCATGGAGATCATCGGCAGAGAAGAGCGAGTCCCTGATACTGATCTGACGCTCTCGGACCACTATGGCCTCCTCGCCGAGTTCTCCATTGCGCCCGTCGCCCCATCCGACAACAACGACCATTGAACTGGCTCACCAAGTGTCTTGCCCTGCCCAGTCCGAGCCAACTCGCTCGCACTTGGCCACACACACACACGATCACAACTCAAACCACGCACCTCACTCGCCATCCTCCTATGGACGACGCATGGCGAGAGGCCCGCGAGGCACACGTGGCTGGGCTCAGCGGCTCACCACTCTGGGTCGTTTGTGCGGTCTCGCTGGTCCTCCCTGTGGCGGCGGCGGCGTCGATGGCTATGAGCCGCTGGCCGGTGGCGGCGTACGCGGTCCGGGTCTTCCTGCTCCCACCGGGCCTGCTGCAAGCAGGAGTAATTGTTGCTGTTGCAGTATGCGCGTGGGCTGGAGGCGGTCGCCTCGGCCTGGTGCCTGTGGCACGTGGGAAGGTGGCGGCACTCTCGACGTACCGGGCTATGGTGATGGTGGCGACGGCGGTGGCCATCCTCGCCGTCGACTTTGACGCCTTTCCGCGGATGTATGCCAAGACCGAAGTCCACGGTGTCTCGCTGATGGATGTGGGCGTGGGATCGTTTGTCTTTTCCAAGGGCATGGTCACGCCGCCGGAGCGCAAGGCCACGCTGGGTGCCTTTGTCGCCAACCTCGCGCCACTCCTGGTCATGGCCAACATCCGCCTGGTTGTCCACAAGGCCATTGGCTACCAGGAGCATGTCTCCGAGTATGGAGTCCACCTCTCGTTCTACCACACCCTCTGTGGCATCCTCGTGGTGGCTTGGACTCTGCCGCGCATGTCGCGCGCCGCCGCCGCCGCTCTCGGCCTCGCCGCCGCCGCTGCCTACCAGCTGGCGTTGACCGGCTACGACTCCGGTGCGCTGCAGGCGTATCTGCTGGACCCGGATCCGGTGTCGCGGACTACCTCGTTTGCTGCCGCCAACCGCGAGGGCCTCTACTCGCTCGGCGGCTATGCCGGCCTCTTGCTGCTGGGCATGGGCGTGGGTGCTGGGCGGAACCTGGCGTCGCCGCGGCGGCTACTTGCCATCGCCGCTGCCGCTTGGGCCGTATATGCCGGTCTGGTTCTTGGCTTTGGTCTGCAGGCCTCGCGCCGCCTGGCCAATGGGCCGTACATTGCGTGGATCGTGGCCCACAACGTCTCGCTCCTGGCGGCGCTCGTCGCGCTCCACGCCTACGGCGGCCGCGGCGCGTGGAAGCAAGCCATCTCGCCTGCTGTGGCCTTTGTCAACGGCCACCAGCTGCTCTTTTTCATCCTCGCCAACCTCGGCACCGGCATCGTCAACCTCTCCATTGACACCCTCTCTTTCGGGCCAACCTTTGCTCTGATCGTTGTCTCCTGCTACATCCTAGCGGTGCCTCTGGTCGTATCCGCAGCCTCCTCCGCCATCGGCCTCGTCTTCTCCACGCCTACCTCCACACCCACCAGCCCAATCTATACTTCTCCAGCTACCGACTGCCGCGGTCCCGGCAGCGGCCAAAAGAAGCGGAATACATGACCCATACGTGCCCCCCCCCCCCCCTCCATCCCATCTAAAGGGAAAATTGCGCCGCCCGAAGATAATAATTACTCGTGAGCAATGATGAATGGAAACCAACGCCCTCACGTGCCAACCAGATCCTCTCCTCCCCGCATACCACACCACCGACCCACCCCAACCACATCCAAACACCCACCCCGACAACCATAATCACACTTGACCCGAACACACACACACACACGCACACACACATACACATACCCGTTCTGCTCATGGCATCCGTCGGTGGCGGTGGAAGCGGCAGCGGTGGCGGGGCACGGGGCAGGGTGGGCGGAAGCAGCCGGCTTTCGGGCGAGGAGCATCACGGGCAAGGTGGAGAGAGGGCATTGGCAACAGAGTCTGAGCATTACGTACAACCACGTATGTCCTGGAGAATGACAGAAGACTCGGACACAGGCCAGCCGTGGGCCTCAACCGCTCCGCTGGCGGTGCCGACGCACACAGAACCGGTCGTGCCGCCGGCTGGCGTACTCCAGCCGCAGCCCAACCCGGCGTACCTCTCAGAAGACGATGATGGCATGGATTATGCTGGTGCATCTGATGCACCCCAAGCAAGTACGGGCCCGAGCGCCGGTCTGGGTGGAGCAGACAGAGCAGCGGCCCCGCTGGCGGTGGCGGCAGCGGCGGCGGCTCCGGGTGAACGCCGCACCGGGGAGCTGGGCGCGGCCGCGCCAGCGGCGGATGGCAATGAGGTGCAGGAGCCTGTGAGCGCAGTGGATGCCACGGTCGGGTTCCTGAAGCGGACGCTGTTCTTCCTCTTTCTGCTGGGCGTCTCGCAGATGGCGATCAACGTGGCGTACACGTACCTCACCGGCGAGGACGCGACGCAAACCTTGCTCTCTGTCCTCTCTCCGATCCTGGTGACGATTGGCTATGTGGGGGTGCGGTCGCGGTCGCAGATCACCATCATGGTCTGGCTCTGCATCCAGTCGTGCACACTCTGCTGTTCCATCATGGCGCTTGTCGCGCTGCTGGCAGCCATTGTCTCGTACGCGTCACCTGTCGACTCGGGCTCCAACTCTCAGGACCTGACGCCAACCCACGACAAGTCGCCAGACGAGCGGACTGACGCTGCGCTCGGCGTGGCCGAGATTTTTATTGCAATTGCTTCGTTCCTCCTGCAGTCGATGGCGTGCATGATGGGCCTGCGCCTCAACGGGCTGCTCTCCGCGCCGGCTACCGGCACACTGACGCAAGCCACACTGACCATCAACTGGCCAGCGTTCGCCGGCGGCATGGCGGCGGCCTCTGGCGGCCGCCACCTCTCGCGGTACATGACGGTACTCGGCGACCAGATCCCTTTGCAGCGCCGTATCAGGCGAACGCCGACAACGACGCCGACGACGCCGCGGGCGTCACGCCGGAATGTGCTCCCCTGCTGGCGCTTCCGCCTCCCGCGCCCATCACAGTCTACGGCCCGGGCTCCCAGCTCCTTGGCCTCGCCGACGCGACTTGGCAGCAGGCCGCCGACCCGCTGCTCATTCCTGACTCACGCATGGGCGAGTACTTTGCGGCCAAGAGCGCAAGCCACGCACCGGCCACTCCTGACGTCGCAGCTGCCAGCAACGACACCGGCCTGGTGCCAGCTCTGGAGAGCGAGCCTTTCGGCGACGATGATGATGATCTGGTGGCGAACACCTCTCGCTTTGAGTCGCTGTCATGCTCGGACGAGTCGGCCGAGTCAGATTTGAAGGCGGCGCCTCTCTCGGCCTCGACGCTGTTTGTGACTATACAAGACGAATGAAGCAGTGCCTTTCATTCAAAACGCGAGGGAGTCCTGGCGTGGGACCAGCGGGCCCGTACCCGAGCCCGGCGCGGCGTTGACCGACGCCCGGCCGGTAGCGATCCGCAGCGGAGAACGGCCGATTTGCTCCTGCTGCTGCTGGTGCTGCGACGCCAGAAACTGAAGCCGCCGGTCGTCATCAGCGAGTTCGTCTTCGATGGAGCGAATGGCCTTGGACGGTGTGCCGGTCGACTCCGACGGCGCCGAGCCGAGGCCGACCGGTGCGCGGTACCACGGCGAGGCGTGGCTTGCGGGTGGGTCGTGACTGGGAGCGGGACGATGCGATGACGACCGCGAGCTGCGGTGGCGTGATGACCGGTGCGATGAGCCGTGATGATGTGTGCGACGCGACGATGACGAGCTCTTGTCCTTAGCCTTGGCTTTGTGCGAGCGCGAGCTGCGCGAGCGCGACTTGCGCGAGCGAGAGCTGCGCGAATGCGACTTGCGCGAGCGAGTGTGCGAGTGCGAGTGGGTGTGGGTGTGCGACGGAGTCTTGACCTGCGGAGGCGACGACGCTGTCGACGACGAGGAGGCCCGACGCGGAGCCTGTGCCGGAGTGAGCGGGGTAGCGGTCTCGAGCGGAACCGGCCGCTGCGGCGGCGTGGTCGGGTTGAGCGTCGAGGTCCGGACGGCATCGATGCCGGGTGACGTATCGTCGTCAAACGACCAGAGCGCGGCGCCGGCGCTTGGGGAAGCCACGAGCGCAACCTGGGCAGGTGAGAGCGGCGGGGCCGTGCGGACCGCCTCCTTCAGCGGAGGCCGGAACGCCGACGGCGAGAGCGCAGCGAGCTGGGCTAGCGCCTGGCGCTCGCGGGCGGCGGCAACGAGCGCGTCGCGGGCGCGGACGGCGACAGCGTCGGCAGCGCGGAGGACAGCGTCGGCCTTGCCCGGCGAGACGCGGCGTGACGGAGAAGCCGCCGGCGAGGCTCGGATCTGGGCGCGGAGCGCCTCGTTCTCGGCCACCAGCAGCTCGATCTCATGCTCGAGCTGGGCGTTTGTCTCGAGGAGCTCAAACTCGGAGCGAGAGGGTGAGACCACGCGGCGGACGGGCGAGGTGGCGACAGCGTGGAGCCGGGCCTCGAGGCGCGACTTGGCCTGCTCGAGGGCGCGGATGCGGTCGCGGGCGGCGTTGAGCTCGGCGTGGGCCGAGGCGAGGCGGGCAGCCATGGACTTGTCAGCGTCGGTCTCGTCGTAGTTGATGTGGGCGCGGGCCTCGACCCGCATGGCGCGCTGGCCAAACTGCAGTGAGCTGACCGACTCGTGGGCCGAGGTCACGGCCGGCCCAATGTTGACGATGAGGGCGGTGACGCAGTTGCCGCCAAGCGAGTCCTGGAGAAGGCGGGTGAGCTTGGAGTCGCGATAGGGAATGTAGCTGACACCGGGGTCGGCGAGCGAGGCGATGACGTTGCCGAGCGCTGTGAGCGACTTGTTGATAAACTTGGCCTCGTCGAGACGGGCGCCGCGGGAGCGCGACTTTTTGACTCGCTCCGAGCCTGCAAGGTCGACGCAAGTAAAGACGCCGTGGGTTCGCGAGCCGCTAAATGGGTCGCGTCGCGAGACCTCGAGCCGCAGAATGGTGTGCGCCCGCGACGAGACATCGTTGAGCCGGGTCGACTCGATAGCGCGGCGCGCGTAGCCAATGTCGAGCAGCTCGAGGACGGCGTCGACCGAGTCGACCGGATGCTTGGACAATCCCTGGACGTAGACGGCGCCGCCCTTGAGCTGGCGGATAGAGAGCGGCGGGGCGGTGTCAGGCGCGCGGCGAGCGAGCAAGTCCTGCGGCGCGTCGCGATAGAGCTGGAGCAGCGAGAGAACGACACGGACGTCCTGGTCAGGGTGCGCGGCGGCGTAGGAGAAGATGTGGGCCACAGCGCGCGGAATAATGCCGGCCTCGGCGAGTGGCTCGAGCTTGGCCAGCGTGTGGGTCTTGCCGGTCCCGGTCTGGCCGTAGGCAAGGACAGTCCCATTGCGGCCTTCGAGGACAGCCTCGACGACGGGGGCGGCGACGGCGGCGTACACCGCATCCTGCGGCGTGGTGGTATCAAACACAGCATCGTAGGCAAACGAGTAGACCCGCGCATCCCACGGCGTCTCCAGCGCAAGCGACGCTGATGCAGGCTCCAGCACCACGCACTTGTGTGCCTTGCCGCCGTCGGGCCCGCCGGCCAGCTCCACGCCCACCAGCGGGCGGACACGGACAAAGACAGAGACCCGGTCGTCCGAGTTGGCCAGTGCCCTCGCAGACGTCGACACTCTTCCGCGCCGCATGCTGTCCTTGGTGTTGAGAGTGCGTGCCAGCGTGCAGAGTGAGCTGGCCAGGCTGAGGCTAGGGTTACCCCCCCCCCCCCCCCCCCCCCCCCCGGGCCTCTACCTGGCGCGATAGCCGGCCGCCAAACCGGCCGCCAAACCGGCCGCCATACCAACCAGCACACGAGACGGTCAACAGTACTGATGGCCAGTGTCTGTGCCGGTACACATGCATGTCCACACATCTAGAAGAACTGCTACATAAAAAGTACACGTCGGGGCTGTGCGTAGAGTCTTCCACCCCACCCGATGGTGGGTGCAGCTTGATTGTGGTCGCCGCCGGCGTGGCTGCCGTAGTAAGGGGAGGTGGTCACCCGCTGGTGTCAGTCCCAAGACTCCCCCGCCAGCCCGCAGAGGGATACTCTCGTCTTCGCATCCCCCACTGGCAACAGGATGGCGCGTCGTGCGGCAGCAGCCCTCAAGAGCCTGCTGAAGCTGCGTATCCCTGCAGGCGGCGCATCTGCAGCTCCACCGACAGGCCCTGCCCTCGGTCAGGCCGGTGTCAACATCATGGAGTTCTGCAAGGACTTCAATGCCCGCTCGGGGCATCTGGTGAAGGACACGCCCGTGCCCGTCGTCGTCAAGGTCTTCGAGGACAGGACCTTTGAGTTCACCACAGGTCCCCCTCCCACCTCCTTCTTCCTCAAGCGCGTACGTCCCTCTCCTTTCAGCCCCTCTCCTGCCATGCCCACTCCCTGTGCCCCCCTATCCCCGCCCTCGCTCGCCCCGTGGTGGATCGTGCTGCGTCGCCTCGCCTCGCCCTCGGCCTACTTTGCCCGCCTGCCGCCGCCCGCGAGCACCCCCCCCCCCCCTCGCTCGCTCATGGCTCTTGATTGGTGTTTTCTGGAGCAGCAAGGTTTGGGCTCGGTGTTAGCACAGGGCGATGATGCGGGTTGCAGACGCAATGGTACTCACGCGGGCGGATGATGAGCTGTGTAGGCGGCCGGGATCGACAAGGGTGCGTCCAAGCCAGGACACGAGGTGGCTGGACAAGTCTCGCTCAAGCAGGTCTACGAGATCGCCAAGATCAAGCACACAGACCCGCGCCAGTCGCTGGAGGGCCTCTGCCGCTCAATCATCGGTTCGGCGCGGTCCATGGGCATCGAGGTCATCCGCAAGTAGTAGTAGGCGTCACAGCAAACGACGTAGGCCACCCCAAACACAAACGCGAACACGAACAAGACGGACGTGGACACGGACACCACAAACATAGGCACGGACACAAACACGGACGCGATCCGCTCTGTCGCCCACTCAGGCCGCCATACTTCTAGATCTTGAATCTCCACCAAACTCACCCCTCCCCCCCCCTTCCTCCCCGGCTGCCTTTGTCATGCCAAAAACCATTCAAACTTTAGCGGTGCGCTGCCCGCCACCACCCCCCGCGCACCCCACCCTACCCCAAGCCCAAGACCAAGCTCTACACATCCCCACACTTCTCCCTACCACCCTCACAGCCATGGACTCGGTCGATGCCTTTGCGGCCGTCATGGAGGCTCTCTCCGAGCGTATTCGTGCCCTCAAGGGACTCATGATGTTCCGTACCTCAGGTACGCGCCCAAACCCCCCCCCCCCCCCCCCCGCCCCCCCCGCCCCGCCCATCTCCTTCCCGTACCATGTCTCACTCACCTGCTTGTCATGGAGGGGGGGGGCTTTAGAGACGAGCGATGCCGGAGCCTTTCTCAGCAAGCTCGACGGTGCAGTCGGCGAGATGGAAGGCCAGATTCAGGACCTAGAGGCGTACATCGCAGGCGAGGAGGCTGCGCTGAGCGAGCTGGACCAGGTCCGCGCCGAGATGCGTGCGCAGGCGGCGTCAGTCGACGTTGCGGTGGCTGCCGCCCGCCCGACCCGCCCGCTTCGCGCCACGCGGCCAAAACCCGCCCAGGCCCCGGCTCGCCACATCGAAAAGGTGTATGTCGATCCTCAGCTTGCCGAGATCGACGATGGAGCGCAGGCCGAGCGATATGCGTCCAACTCGAACGCCCGCGAGTCGCGCGCGCTGCGGTCGTCCCTGCGGTCGTCGATGGGAGGGAACCGGCCAGCGGCCGGAAAGACGCCGCGGACCGCTCGCCGCAAGAGCTCGATGGGCGGGTCGCGGCGGCGGTCGTCGGCGGCAGGCCCGGGCTCGCTCCGCTCCTCGCTCCGTTCATCGATGGGCTCGTCGGTCCGCCCCTCGTCCATCTTTGACACCGCCGACGCCACCGGCACGGACCAGGTCTGGATCGAGCCGCTCGAGGACGAGGAGATCGACGCCATCCCGCACTACCTCCGCGGCCGGCTGACCAAGGAGAAGATCAACGCCGCCGCTGCCGAGCTGTCGGCCTTTATCCAGTCCAAGTACGAGCTCATGGCGACGTCGACGAGGGCCATGTCCAACGCCCAGCTCCACCAGTACAAGGCCTACCGCTCGTATGAGATCCACGGCAAGACCGAGGGAGAAAAGTTCTTTGTCGAGGCCGACATTCGCAACTTTTCCCACATCAAGGTCGACCGCACCGGCCGCTCCATCCTTCACATTCTGCGGACAACTGGTCGCCTCCGCGAGATCCGCGACACCAACTGTGTCCGCTATGCGGTCACCATCTACTGATGCCCCAGGCTCCCATAAACTGTATCATGACCATTCATCGCGCCACCGGCGTGGCACACGCCTCTTCGCTCACTCGCAACCCAGCCCGCAGCAGGCTGCTCGCATCGAGCGCCCGCCGTTTGGTCGGTCCGCCCTCGCCGGCAGCCTCGGCGTACGCATCATCGCGGGCCTCGCCAGAGAGCAGCGGATTGATGTGCGCGCGATCAAGGACCGAGGCGTACGCCAACGAGCCGAGGCCTTTCTCCTCCACGGCGCGGACCGCATACGCACACATGGCCCGCGGCACGTCGAGCTCGCTCACAGAGCTGGCCGCCTCGAGCGCCAACACGTGCTCCAGCGTGATCTGCCGGAGATCACACCGTTTGCCGGCGAGTCGGCCTTTGGTCCGGCCCGGCCCCGCTTGCGCTTTCCCGCTCCCGCAGACGGACCGCCGGCGAGTGATGCCGGATCCCTGTCTTTGCCCTTGTCCTTGGCCTTGTCCTTGCCCTCACCTTTGCCTCTGTCTCTGCTCTTGCCTCTGCCCGACCCACGACGCGAGCTGGCCGGCCTGCCTCTGCCACTGCCGCCCGAGCTCGAACCGGACGATAGCGTGCCGTCGGACGACGACGACGGCGAGTCCGATGCGTTAGGATCCCATGTCGACGCCGACGATGAGTCCGACGACAAGCCCGAGCCCGAGCCCGAGCCCGAGCCCGAGCCTGGGCCCGAGCCTGAGAAGGTTGCAGCGTCAAGGCTGCGGATGCAGGCTCGCGCGTCAAGCGACGCCCGCCGGGCCGCCCGCCGCTTGGTGGCGGCGAGGCCGACGACAGTTGACGGGCTCTCCGGCCCGGTTTCTTTTCGCGCTGCAATGTAGCTAGTGTGATGGTGATGCCACTCATCTCCAGCGCGCTCAAATTGCGGCCATGTCCGCGCGATCTGCCGCCAGTACTTGATCATTGCCTTGCGGTGCTGGCTGGCGGTGAGCAAACCAGCGTTGGGCGCGCTGAGGCAGGCGAGCAAGTAAAACACGTGCTCCGAGAACGAGATGGGTGGGTCAATCCGAGCATTACGCACGCCAGCAACAGGCTCGGCCTCGGCGTAGTGGACCAGATACGCCTGGAGCTCCTTGAATAGGACGGCCGATGCCGGATCGCCTGGGGCATCCCGCGCAGCAAGCACATCCTCCAGATCGATGTCTTCTGCGCTGCTTCGCGCTGCCAGCGGCAGCTTGCTCCGCGGCGCCTCGCGCCACGCCGCCAGATACTTGCGGCAGTGTGCGGTGACCTGGGCCATGGTCCGCGACTTGACAAAACGGCGCGCGACGTGGCGGAGACTACCCTCGCCGTAGACCTGCAAGCCAAGCAGCAGCGCACAGTGCTCGGCCATAGCCCACGGGATACGGATCTTGCCGTGGCCGATGGCACGTGGACCCGGGCCAGCACGCTCGCCGCCCTCGCCTCGGCAGCCTCGGCCTCGCGAGCCTCGGCCCTCCGCCGCTCCACCTCCAGCCATCGCATGCCGCCGCCCCAGCCCATTCCCCCACTTGCCTCTGCCTCGTCCGCCGCCTGCGCCATCCGCAGCACCCGAGCCGCTGCCGCCTGCGCCCTCCGGACATGCGGATCCAGATCACCACCGCCCAGCTCGAGCACCGCCAGGCCGTCCTCGGCTCCCCTGCGGCCAGCATGTCGCGCCTTGGTCTTGCCCCCCGCAGCAGCAGCCATAACGAACGAGCCCCTCACACGCCAGCCAGTCAGTCCAGTACACGTTCACCTGGCCACAAACGTTACAGCAACCGCAACCGCAACCGCAACCGTGATCACGATCACCCGGGTTGAGTGGGGTGGAGGTGGACGAGGGGGGTAGCCGACCAGACGACAAAGCCGCCAGCCGCCAGCCGCCAGCCGCCAGCCGCCAGCCGACCAGTCGCCAGCCGCCAACCATCCTCCTCCTCACTCACCCAACTCCTCTAACCCCCCCCA